AATGGAGCTAAATTCATTTTGGGTCATTAGCGTTCCCCAAGGACGCAGAGGCAGAGATAAGGACTGACAATGCCGCACTTTGTGCCGACTCTCTTCTTCCACACAGTGCTAAACCCTTTCATTTAGGCCCTTTCAACAGTCCTGGGCAACGGCTTTCTCTGGTTTTTCTTGGCCAAAAACAGGTTTTACTTTGGGTTTGGGGACAGCAGCACCTGGAGAGCCCTGGAGACGGGCCCTGCTCTCAGGATGCAGTGTCGGAAGCCTGCATTACTCTGTGTCAACGACAGGCCAGAACACACATTCTTCCGAGACTTTCTTTAGGATGAGCACACAATCTGGGGAAAAGCAGCTCCATTTTCACTGCTCGTTCTTTTAAGAAAGTAATTTGTAGTACCAATGTTGCAAAGCTGTGCCTTCATGTAAAACACATTAGTGTAGAGAAAGAAAGAAAAAAACAGTGAGAAACCAGAGAAGAGGGAAACATATCACAATAGACCAGAGAGTGTTTTTTGTTTTTAATCCAGAGACCCCCCTGCTGTCAGCCCAGGATGCCAGGGTCTGTACTGGGGGCGCCCATGCCAGACCTGGGGCTAAGTTGTGTTCGAGTCCTTGGTTTCTGTACAGCTAAGTCATGCACAACTCAAGAAGACCCTGATTGATCAGCGGGCTTCCCTCTCTGCCAATGATTGTCTCACATGTTCAGGGACCAGGCCCAGCCAGCACAGTGGACTTTTAGGCAATTAGTCTTCATCGTATGCACCAGTCACACAAAACGGACCTGAAGCTGTAGATATGAACTGTGGACAGCCCCCCTCCCCGTTTTTTGCTTTCTGGATCAAAGCAAAAAAGCCGGTTCCTGCCCAAGCATGGACCCAGTTACCAGACAAAGCACCAACTCCCATGACTGCTTGGCACCACAGGACATGAAGCCCAATGTGAACAGGACCCATACTGAGTCAGGGTCAAGTGCACCCCAGGACCTGACAATAATCGGGCTCAGAGCTGCCCCTCAATAAATGCTTTAGGAAAGAATGGAGCAGCATGGCATTTTTGTTTTCTTTTTTCTTTTAAAGATTTTATTTATTTATTTTTAGAGAGGGGGAAGAAGGAGAAAGGGAGGGAGAGAAACATCAGTGTGTGATTGCCCCTCACGCGCCCCCTCCTGCGGACCTGGCCCACAATTCAGGCGTGTGCTCTGACTGGGAATGGAACCAGCAAACCTTTGGTTCACAGGCCAGCGTGCTATCCACTGAGCCACACCAGACACGGCTAGAATGACATTTTCAAGAAAAGTGGAAGGAGAGAGAAGGTAGGATAAAGATAACAGGATGAAAGAGGAGCTCAAATTTAGTAGAAACTAATTTGGTCCTGTAAGTGTGGGCAAAATCCCCAAAGTCCAAAGACAGGCTAGGGGAGCCTGCTCAGGGAGCAGCTGTGTGATGTTCTGGCTGCACCTCCAGCCTGAAGGGTCCTCAGCACTCCTGGGTGGCTCACCCAGCTGAAATGCAGCAGCTATTTCCAATCCTGGCCTCCCCACTTTCCTCCTGGGACCCCTGCCCCCCCACAGCTTTTCTCTTCTACCCCTTGAATCTTCAGCAAACCCAGCCCACCCAACATTTCCATCTTCAGCTTTAAAAAGGCTCTAGACTTCCTCACTCTAAAACAAACCTGCCTTCTTCTCTCTTCTCTAACCCTGTCTCCCTCCGACAGCTATCTTCTCTGCCCCTTTCCCCCCTGCAACTACCACACAAATTTTTGGTCCCAAATTTCCACCTACTCATTTACTATCAACCCCCAAAGATCTAAATCCTAAAAGACTTAAGTCTTCTGACTTGTCAACCTCACCTCTCCACTGAAAAGACTCTCTTCTGCCTGACCAGTGTGGCTCATTTGGCTGGAGCACTGTCCTATAAACTAAAAGGTGTAGGTTCAATCCCTGGTCAGGGCACATACCTAGGTTTGGGATTTGATCCCCAGTCAGGACATGCACTGGATGTGTCTTTCTCTTTCTCTCCTCTCACCCCACTTCCTCTCTCTCTGAAAGCAATAAAAAAAAAAAATGTCCTTGGAAGAGAATAAAATAAATAAATAAATAAAAAGACTCCCTTCTCTCAGCTTCCTCGACACTGCTGCCGCCCTCCTGGCTTGCCTCCCATCTCTGTCTGTCCCTTAAGTGGAGGTACTATTCCCTTCTGTCTGGGTCCTTTTTCACCATTTCCTACACTGGTACCCCCCCCAAAGCACATCTCCACCCAGGGTACTCTCAGGGCCACCAGGTCCATGGAATGAACTCCCCACTGGGACCACCACATGGGGGCCTCAATTCCACCTGCTCCCACACCCACCTCCTTGGTCCCCCATGTCAGTGAGGCACATGACCATCCACTCAGACACCTAAGGAGATACTCTGGATTCCTGTCAACACCACTTCCCAACCATATCCTGTTCATCGGTTGTTCCCTTCCCTGCAGACACTGCCGTTGTTCAGGCCCTCATTTCAGCCTCCTCACTGGGATCACTGCCTCCAGTCTGAGGTAGGGGTGCAAGCTGCTAGGTGGAATGGGTGGTGAGGCACTTTACCACAAAGTAGTATAAACAGCACTTTATATAACTGACTGAAACGTCATCAATAGTCCATGTATCAGAGTAGGAAGGGTGGAGAAAATTGAGATCACAAGGGGCAAATCTCTAGGTTCCCAACTCTAATTCCTCCCAGCCTGGCTCCTCTCAATACCCCGCCAATCAACAACTCAGCTGTCAAAGTTATCTTCTGTGACATGAATCTCACACGCCTCTTCCTGTATTAAACGCTTTGATGGATCCCCAGCTCTCTTCCTGTGTATCCGGGAAGCACTTACCCCCCACATCACAAGTGTTCCCAATTCCACGCCTTTGCCCATGCCATTCCCTCTGCCTGATGCGCTCTATCTCTGCCTCTTCACTCTTCGCTACCTTTCATTCAAAGGAGCATTTGTTTTAGGTCAACTACCGCCTATCACAGATCAGGAAGGGTTCAACGTCAGCACCTTTTATTACCTCATACAAAGAACAATCTTTGGACTTGTATGATGTAGCACAATAATCATTACAAGGTCTCCTTTTCAAAAAGAGGCTTCTCATTGTAAACCAGTGATTCATCTTAGTCTGCACCCATTACTCTCTTATCTACCACCATAGAAACTGCTCTAAAAAAAGTCCAACTCTTCATCCTTTCGTGGCTCGCTGGCCATCTACTCTTTCCTGTGCACGTCCTCCCCCTGGAAAACCCGTTCTGGAAGACTTGGGAACATAACCCTCATGGGTGTTCTCCATTTCTTCTGCTCCTCCCTCTCTTAGTCACTTCCCCCAGAAGGTGCTGTAGGTTCAGACCTCCGCCTGTTCAGAGAAACAATTCAGGGAGTATATGAAGTTCCAGAAAGTGGGAGCAACGTGCTGGAGGCCACAGAGCAGTTTTGTGGGGGTGGCAGTCAGGCTCTGAGGCCCTGGGACCAAGATGTAGTGATTCCCAGGCCCTGCCTCCTTCTGCAATTCCATGGCCTGTGATCCTCTGTCCCAAATGCCACACATAATTAGAAGTTATAATCCTGTAATTCCATAATGACATCTTTGAACTTAAATATACCTTAAAACGACTTTTTTTTTAATGCTAAAAGCAATTCACTTAAAATTTTTTTCTCGCCCTGGCTGGTGTAGCTCAGTGGATTGAGCACGGGCCTGTGAAGCAAAGGGTCACTGGTTTGATTCCCAGTCAGGGCACATGCCTGGGTTGCAGGCCGGTTCCCCCATAGGGGACACATGAGAGGCAACCACACATTGATGTTTCTCTCCCACTCTTTCTCCTTCCCTTCCCCTCTCTCTGAAAAATAAATAAATAAAATATTTATAATTTTTTTTTCTCCACTCTGTCCTCACCTGTTTCCAGATTCCCCTCCAGTCCCCACCGTCCCCTGGGGCCACTGCTCCTCAGCAGAGAGCAAAAGCCTCACCAGGAAAATGAAAGAAGATGCCAAGTCCATTTACCACTGGATCATTAGACTTTTAACAATTAAGAATTGATTGTTCTGTGGAAACAGTTTCACTTCCCTATTTATAATTACACTTTTGGTCATGTATCTTATTAAAAATAAAAAAGCAATTACAGTCAACCCATCCAGTCAAACCTGGCCAAGATCCAAAGGCTATTTTTAGACTGTCAGGGACCTGCAAGGAGGAAGGGTGGAAGGAGTCACTGTGACTCCAGCCTCAAAAAGCATCTTTGTAGCCCAGGCCTTGCCACCTGCGAGCACCAGAGCGCCCCACCCCCCACCCCAGCTCCGCGGGCTGGGGTCGTTTTTTGAGAGACTGAGCTGCGGACTGGTATCTTCAGGGCAAAAGGCCTGTGTGTATACCGAGGGTCTCCTGGACAAGCCAAGTTCCCGCGAAGCCCACACTCGCCCCGGGTTTCTCCAACAACCAAATAAATCACTTGTTTGCAGCGCTCACGCCCCAGGTGACTTGGGGGGGCGGGGGGCGACGCCCGAGGTCACCTCCCACCAGCAAGTCTCTCCTGCCCTCTAAAAAATCAAAGAAACGTATACTGGAAGCGTTCTAAAGGCAAAAGAAGACCAACCCTCCCACCCCCACCCCCCGGGGTGGTTCTTCTATCTCCAGCCGTGGCCGGGCCGAGCGCCCGGGTCCTAACGCGCAGTGCAGCGGAGTAACCTGTCCCTTCCCCAGGCGCACCCCCCTCGGCCCATCCTCCGCCGGCACCTGCGCGGGGACGCCCCAGGCGACCCTCCCAGCCCCGGAGGCCACCTGCTCTAGGCGGCGGGGTACGCGGCCGCCCCACCGGTCTTCACTGGAGCCTCCGCCCCGGCCGCCCCAGGCCAGCACGCTCCCTCCAGCTCTGGCCTGGTCGACCCCGGCCTCACGCCCCCCACCCCCCACCTCCGCCGGGGGAAAGGAGGTCTGCAGCCCACAGCTTGCAACCCGCAGCTCGCCGCCCGCCCGAAACCACCAACCTTCCGAAAGTAGCCGTCGTTCTCCTTCTCCAGAGGCTGGGGGCCCGCGGGCAGCAGAGCGTCAGTCATGCTGGCGGTTTGGGCACCGAGAGCGGACTGACGCTGGGCAGCAGCTCCAGCCGCAGAGGGCGCCCTGACCCGCCCCGCCCGCGTGGCCGCACCTCCAGCCCCGCCCCGGCCCAGGCCATTAGCCCCGGAGACCCGGCGGAGCCAGCCCAGGCCACACCCCCTGTCCCGCCCCGGCTCCTGATTGGCTGGGCGGAACCGGCGCCCCAGGCGTGTGGCTGGCGCGCGGAGAGCTGGGACCCCTGGGCTCCTAGTTCTCCCTCTCCAAGCCTCCCGGACCTAATCGGGGCGTCGCGTCTCTCTCAGCTCAGTGTTTCAGGGGCGGGGCGGGTGATCTGTGGCTAGACTAGGCTAGGGATCCGGCCCCTCATCTGGAGCCGTGGGGCAGATGCAGAGAGCATAGTAAAGTTGCGCGGCTCCTCCCCGGAGGAGCGGCAGCCTGCAGAGGGCAGTGATGAGACCCAAGGCTAAGTCGGGGGCGCTGCTGGAGCGCTGGGCTCTGGGCTGAGCGGTCCCGAACAGCTTGCGGATGGAAGGGACCCCAGGGCCGAGTACGTGACACTGAGGGAGAGTTGGCTGCACCACCGAGGGTCTTGGCCGACTGACTCAAATCCGTTGGCGCAGCGGTCAACTCCCTACCCCCACCCCCACTGCAGAGACTGGCGGATCGGCTCGGAGATGCAGACGGCTCTGGAAGACGGGGTGTGCCCACGAGTGGATGGATTCCCCAGAAACGGTTTTGTGCTCGAGAGACTCGGCGGATGTCCTTCAGCACTTTTCCTAACCACCACATAAAACCTCAGTTTTCTCAACTGCAAAATGGGGCTGGGGTCACCGTCTGCCTGGCTGGTCGCAAGTATTACAACGCAAGTGCGTGTTAAAACTCTTAGCTGGGTGAAGAGACGCGCCTTACTTAGCCGAAGTAAGGGGTTCGCATTCCTCTCTCACGCGCCCTTCCACTCCACCCCACCCCCACACACAGCTGACCGCTAGACTCGGGACAGACACCTGACAGAACAGGGTCCCACAACCTTGGGCTCAAGCCGGAAGCTCCCCGCCAGGGGAGCCGTGCCCCTCCTGGGTGCCTTGCTGCAGTCACAAAACCCTTCCCCCACCAAGGGACGCCTTTGTGCAGCTGGCACTGCGTTTGGCGGTCGCAGTAGATACCACAGGTAGAACAAAACAGGTTAATTTTAAAACAAGCCAAGCGTTTACTTCTCTTAAAAAATAAAATAAAGGGGGAGGGGAGAAAGGGGGGAAAGGGGACGTCTGTAATAGTGTAAACAATAAAAATATATAAAATTTTAAAAGGAGGTGCATTAGGAGTTGTTTGAAAGTTTTAAAATAAATAACAGCAACAGCCAAGAACCAGCAACCAAGTAAATGTCAGAAAAACCCACCTGTCACTGCCAACTCCGAGGGGCTGCACAAGAAAAGACGTTTCTGGAAAGAGTTCTCTTAATTCTAAGAAGGAACCTGGAGAGTTTTAACCAGCTCAGTGCAGGGACAAGCAAATGGGGAAACTCCAGCAGATGCAAAAACTTCCCTTCTCTCTTACGGTCAAAAATATCAAGCTAATTTCATCATGTCAGTCATTCTATAACTGATCCATTGCCCTGTAAAAGTACCAGCCCCTGGGTTGGAAGTTAAAATTAGTTGATTCCGTGGGGATCCTGGGTGGGTGGGTTACAGGGGTGTCCAAACTGCAACTCCGGCCAGTGGCCTGCGGTCCAACACAAAATCGTAGATTTACTTAAAACCTTCTTTTTGCTCAACAGTTCTGTTAGTGTTTGTGTATTTAATGTACATTTGTAATACTACTTATCACTATTGCTACTAATAAAGTTATCAGTGAGAACTCTACTCCAGCCAGAATGTTTATAGATGTAATGTTGCATTCTCAAGACCCTTCTGCAAGTAAGTGGACTAAATAATCTTAATTTGAGAAGACTGAGGCTCAGAGAGTGAAGCGGCGGATGGCACACTCCTCTGTGACTGAGATCAGTTTTCATTCGGGCTTGCTGACTCCAGTCATTTCCTATCAGCTTCAAATGTTTTCATTTTCTACCATCTTTAAGCTCCAATCACCTTCACAATTTGTCTCGTATATGTATGTGTCACATGTATTATTGATTTAATCGTCTTTAAATTTGCTCACTTTAGACACATTTTATTTTATTTTTATTGGTATCAGAGATAGAGGAAGGAAGGGAGTGCGGGAAAGAGAGAGAGCAAGAGAGATAGAGACAAAAAGAGAAACATTGGTTTATCGTTTCATTTATTTAAGTGCCCTCACTGGGATCAAACCTGCAATCTTGGCTTATCAGGATGATGCTCCAAGCAACTGAACTACCTGGTAAAGGCACAACCTTTATTTTAAAAGACAGCTAGGTCATAACCATAAGCAGAAAACAAGCAGCACTTTGCCATGTAGGGAGATACACATAAAAGTTAATGCAGTGATGGCCCTGGCCTGGTGGTCAGTTGGTTTAGAGTCTACTCTCAATACTCTCAGTTTGGGAGTTCCATCTCCGGTCAAGGCACACACAAGAATCAACCGATGAATGGGTAAACAAATGGGACAACAAACTGATGTTTCTCTCTCCCATTTTTAAAATCAGTTAAAAAGGGGGGAAAAGTTAATACAGTGAAAACCGAAATCTGTTATTTAATCTAGACTGACACCATTGCCTTCTTGAACTGCTCCTTTGAGTAAAAAAGGAGAGAATGAGAAGGAAGCATACATGATGTAACAGACATATCAGTCTACTCTAAGACTAGCTTCTGAGCATCTTTGGAAGAACGAGATTTCTTCTGAGTCCCACCAGTCATCTCCTGAAAATGTAGCCACTTACGTGTTGCTCCTCAGGCCATGCAGCACTAGACATTCTTGTAATCTCTGATCCTGCTCCGATCAAGGATGCAAGTTGCTAAAACAAAATAAAATAAAATAAGCCCTGGCTGGATAGCCCCGTTGGTTAAAATGTTGTCCCTACACACCAACGTTGTGAATTCAATTCCAGGGCAGAGCACATACAAGAATCAACTAATGAATGTATCAGTAAGTGGAACAACAAGTCCATACTTCTCTCTCTCTCTCCCTTCATTTCTCTCTCTTTCTCTTTCTTTTGCTTGCTGTCACTCAAAATTAATAATAAAATTTTAAAAACTTAATTTAAAAAATAATAAATGAAAAGCATGACAGCTACTGCTGGAGAGTAACATCTAATCTCCTACTTGTCACCCCAGTCGGTAACATGTGTTACAAGTGCACCAACGAGCCACTGTGTTCCTAACAAAAAAGTGGGGTGGGATTTCCTGAGATGGGCAAAGGTGAAAATCTCAACTGCAAACAACTATTTTGTCAAGCCACTCTGTTCCGACCTGGCTGAGGCCAGCAATTGACTGTCCAGGGACCAATTTCCTTCAAATAAAATGCAAGTCTCACCTCCTAAGACTTTGTTGACAAATGAAGCACTGGCTTCTCTGGGGTGTGAAAAATAATATAAATAAAGCCACTTTAAAACAGAGTTAGAGGTGCCATCCCAGAGAACTGCCTTGCACATCTCACTGCTCAGACCATCAGAATGTTAAAACTGGGCAAAATAACCTTTGGACTGCCCTAAAGGGCCATTGTATTCCAAACAATTGTTTGCAAAGATAACAGGAAAGCAGATACCATGACTAGGAACTGAAGATTAAAAACATTCTTTAGAATGCGGATCACTACGTTAGCTTATCTGCACCTATACAAGCACCTATACAAGGTGCTTTCCTTCTGTTGATGTAATTCTTCCCCTTCCCTTCCTCGTAAATACCCCTTACTTGCCCTTCTGATTGAAACACTATTTGGGTTTCTGTCTGAATCAGTACTCACTGATTCAACAGCTATTCTTCTGGCTCTCAAATTAACACCTATTGCCTCCTTACTTTGGCCTTTGCTTTCGGGTTAGCAACTTGACCTGCAACCTCCCTTGGAGAATCTGTTAAAAATTTACCAGAGTAAAAGCAGAAATGACAAGGTAATCCTCAAGTGAATGAAGTTCATTGTAAATTATAGACATGGTTTTGCATTTACATTTTTTATTGACATGATAACAGACACAATTTTGCAATTTTTATGAAAAAATTCTTAGAAATTAAAGCTGTATGGTGCCACAGAGGAGCTTGAATTTCTCTCCCTGTGACTTTGAGATATAAATATCTGATACTCTCATCCAGGCTGCCTTTTTAAACTGCAAATTTCAGAAGGATAATTTTTATTTGTAAAAAGGGTGTGGGGGCCCTCACTGGCCAACCAAAAGGTCACCAGTTCAATTCCCTGTCAGGGCATGGGCCAGGATGGCAGGCCAAACCCCCGATTTGGTTCCCAGCTTGGGGCGGTGCTAGAGGCAATGGATGGGTGTTTCTCTCCAATTCTTTCTCCCTCCTTTCCCCTCTTTCTAAAAATAAAGAAACAAAATCTTCAAAAATAAATAAATAAATAAAGGGGCGGGGAGAAGCGTCATTTGGAAAAATTCCACTTCTTTTATGGAAGCCCATGAGATCTCATTTGCATCTGTTTGTATACTCATGTGTGACTACATATATGTGGGTGTTATGTGTAGTATTTTCTGTCTCTAGATGGTATTGCTCATTTGTAAAAAGAGCTCTATTTATTTGGCTTAAAAACAAACAAATGTTTATCTAAATTGAGAATTGGGTATTCTAAAACTCTCAGAAATATAGATAACTAAGCTAAATGCTTCTCATGTTCATGTGACTTGGGAAAAATACTCAAAATTAAAGCTAATTTAGTTGGTAGATTTCACAGAAACAGACATGTTTTCAGAGGTATCGATGTGACATGTAATACTTTAATTCTGGCCCTGGCAGGGTCGGTCAGGTGGTTAGGCCATCGTCCCAATATGTCAGGGTTGCAAGTTTCATCCCCAGTCAGGGTCACATACAAGAATCAGCCAATGAAGGTATAAATAAGTGAAACAATAAATCAATATTTCTCTCTCTCTCATGCTCTAAATTCAATAAAT